TGCTGGCAAACATTCGCATGAAATAAACACCTAGCAGTGACACTGGCACTTCACTGTACTGCTTGGCTTTTGGGCTGTGAGCTCACCTGGTCTGGTCAGCAGCTAGACTCTTTCACTCTATTCTGTTTCTCCGAGTGTGGCATGGGACATTGCTCCTTCCGAGCAGAAAAGCGCAGACTGTGGGACCCTCATGCTAGTGAAGAAGAGAGTGATGGACAAAGCAGGTCTGTCCACAGAACCATGTAATCTGAGCAGGACGCGGTGTGTCTGAGCCCATGTAAGTTTGGAGTGTCCGTAGAGAGCCATCAACAAACACAAAGTGAAAAATGAAAAACATCTTTTTCCATATATGTAAGGACAATAATCTTCCAATTAAATAAATACGTACAAAGGAAACCTAAAATATACGTAGAAAAAACATTTAACTCAGCAGGCACATGCAAAATTTATGTATTTCTTCACAGGCCAATTTCACAAAGTGACTGAAACAAATGAAACAGACCAAACTATAGCACTTTTAGCCTTTTGTTGAACCAAAAACAAGGGAAAGCGCGAACTCAGTCCCCCACTACCACAAACTATGCAGTTGAATTTCCTGCATTTGGGGAAATCACGGAGGTCAGCACATCCGGAGTGCTATGGATAAGTCTCGCCCTGGGAATACCACTTCCGTGATCATGATATCTCCCCGGCCAGGTACGGATGAGTGCTGCTCCGCCCTCCCCCACCAAGCCTCCTGCGTGCCTCACTCTGCACTCAGGCTCATTTGCCTTCACGAACTCTCAGGTCTGCCTAGCTCGTCCACGCAGGAGATGCGCTGGGCTGCGAAACTGCCCTAAACTATTTCCCTGTTCACAGGAAAATCATCAAGCTTCAGTACCAGGGATCCAACCAGCAACCACTGAGCTTCATTATCTGCATAGGACACGCCCTCCCGTGGCGTCACAGGATGCCATTCCCTGAAGCCTATGCCCCGCCCCGCCCCCACGCCGTCCAACCCGCCCACCCGCGCTGGGGCATTCCCAGGGCAGTGATGTCCCTCTCTCTATTCCTCTTGTTCCCTCAACCAAGTGGAGAATTTATATTTAGGTGGATGTCACTTGAAAATATACCCATAAGTGGAAAAGAACCAGACACTCATGTGTAAATATCATATAGTTTCCCTAGTATAAGAACTCAAAAGAAGAAATACAAATAGAAAGGTATAATACAATTAAAAGGAAAGCAAAAACTTGACGACTAGACAATGAAGAGAGAGCAAGGAGAAGAGCTAGGAAACATGACAGAGTCAAGCCATGCACTGATATGTACAAGATGGGTAAGGCAATGATCCTGAGAATCTTCACAAGATTTTCGAATCTAGCAGTTAATTGAAAGGATTCTTGCCCTGGTTAACAATATATACTGACACCTGTGAACTAAGCAACTGCACTGAAGATGACGATTTGTAATAACAGATTTAATCAACTTTACCTGAGCAATGGTGCTTGTAATCTCATTGGTTGACCATTGTTTTGTCCCGCTTCATGCCCACCTAAGCCAACTCCCAAATTCTCCTCCACCTTAGACCTTCCTCAGCACATCGTTTTGCTCTAGGTAAGAGTCCCTTAGGGCCAGCCAAATAGCTCAGCAGATTGAAGCTCCTGCAAGGAGGTGCAGAGGCATGGGTTTGCATCCCAGGACCTGCCTTGCCAGCCTTGCCCCTGAGACATGGTGAGAGGGTAATTGAGACTGCGTGTGGTGTTACTGACCTGTAATCCCAGCTCTTAGGAGGTTATAACCAGGTAGATCACTAGGAGTCCAGTCTAGTCATGAGACCCAGAACACCCTTCACAAAGAAAAAAAAAATTTCCCTGCAAGAGCCATTTTCCTGGCGACCACCTACTCGAGGCCTCCCTCCTTTCCCTCTCTTGGACAGGTGCTTTCTCTCCCCCAGTAAATATATTCTGCTCATAGCCTCTGCTTGTTCCTAAAATTCATTCTTCAGTTTTACAGAACACGAACTCATCCCAGGTACCTGTCAGCTCAGAATTTTTATTCTCTCCCCCATATCATTTGGAGGTCATCCACAGAGATCATTTTTCCTAGTATCACAGCAACTTCCATTGGAATCCAAATCAGGGCACCATCGCAGAATCCCTCTGGGCCCACATTTTGTTCCTGCTTCTCAGGTGTGCAGTCCTGCTCAGTTCCATTCTCACGGTTGTGTCCCAGCTCAGTCCGCCCCCATTTACCCCATGCCCAGTAACCCTCTTGCTCAGGTCTGCACAGAGCATAGCCAGTCCCACTATGGACCAGGCTTAGGCCACCACCTGTGCCTTCCAGTGCTCACTGCCATTCTCCAGATATATTGCCCACATTCTTAGCCTGAGCTGAATGGAAGGTTCAAACTTTTTCCATTTTAACAAATGCCATTAATACCTAGATGAAGTTGAAAAATGATCACCTCAGCTTGGCCCTCCCTGGCATTGCTCTGATCCCCACCCTAACTTATTTGCACACTGCTTCTCTGGTGAAGTCAATTACATGGTTTTGACTTCTTCATCACCACATAGTGGCTATTCCTTCTATGCCCACATAAGTTCGCTTTTTCTCCTTGTGCTTCACTGTGTTTTTGAGATATAACCCTTGGTATATATCTACTGCCTGAGAACCAAACCACAGGGTATTGTCCTTATGCATCTTCAGGCACTTGGGCCTTTGAAACTACCTCGAAGTGGTTCCCCACACAAAATCATAAATAAAGAGCTAAACAAAAGAGTGATGTAGGAAGTAGGGAGATAGGTCTTTCTCAAATGAAAAGGGAATAAAGAAAGGAAGAAGGTAGGGAGAAGAGGTAAGGAAAGGAAAAAGGAATTATAATGTGTTGTGTACCATCCCGACACAAGAAATGTATAGATTATATACAGCAAACATGCACAAATTAAAAATAAAGGGACTCAGATTTTGATACTGGTGATAGGTCTGCACTTGGGAATACCTGACACTGGGGCTTAAACACTGAGAGAGGAGGTTCATGGGAAGACTTTGCAAACATTTCCAGAGGCTACCTAGACAAGGTCTAAAATTCTCTAACATGAGCTTCATGGATGACAGCCCTCTCAGCTGAGAATGCTGAGAGAAATGCACTCAGTCAAAGAGCAGCATCAGGAGGATTCTGCTTGCAACTGGATCCCAATGACATTGGGACTTCAAATTTTAGCGCATGTATGTTGCCTTCAAAGACAAAATGTCACCAATGCCTTAAAGCAGAGCAACCTTCTTAGTTTTTGTTTGCTGTTTCCAAAGAGGTCGCTGATTAGGGAATGGTGGGACATGACAGTGATCCGAGAATTCTGGATGTCTCCAACAGCAAGATCACGGGTGCAGCCCAACATGCTTACTTCAATGATTTGCTGAGACTTAGTAAGTGTCTGAAACAAAAGTCTGAGGATGTAGCTCCGTTTGAAGACAGTGTGTTCAAGGCTCAGTACTACAAACATGAACAGTAGATAGGTGCTAGACAGACATAGATATATGGATGCTAAAGAATCATAAGGAAATAGTCACTGAAAAATGACTTTTGATGTAAATATTAGCCAAAGGGTTTTCTTATCAGAGGGGGTGCTTGGGTGGGACCCAATACATGACATCACTTTCTGGCAACTGCCCATATGGAACCCAGAATGCTCATCACCATGCATCACTATAGGGGGACAGTTACCTCCTGAGCTCACTTGTCGAGGGACAGTGAACAGTGAACATATTGAGCTGTTTCCGAACTTGTCGAGGTGACAGCCTCAGGGCATCAGGAAGAGAAAGCATTTTTAAACAAATCAGAAGATGCTTCACTCCATCCAGATTCAGGGCACAGAGCAGAAGCAACTCAACCATCACAGCAAAACCTGGCCAAGACACCACAGGCAAGGATAATGTGGGCCAAGAGCCCCCAAAGAGCCTGGGGCCAGACTCCCAGGGTTCAGCCTCTAGCATCAGAAAGCTCACAGAAAGGCCAGAAAAGGGCTCCTCAGGCCCAGGCACTAGATACTGTCAGATACCAAAGAATCAAAACAAGGCTTCCCAAGGCCCAGGAGCCAAACAGAAAAAGCCCCCCAGGGACGCAGGGAAGACCTTCAAAGGCCCTGCTACCAGGGTCCCAAATGAAACAGGGAAATTGGAAGAGGTCTCCTCAGGCCTCAAAACTGTTAACACAGAAAAATTCAGGAACCCATGGGAAGTCTCCTTCAGCCCAACTCCTCAGCACACAAGGAAACCGAGGGTACCAAGGCAGATCTCACCAGGTCCAGCCAGTCAGTGTTCAGAGACCTCACTTGGCTATGGGCTGGTCTCCCCACAACAGAAAACCAGAAGTGAAGAGAATGGAAGAAAACCAGAGTATCACACCAACAGTCCAGCCCACAGTACCCTGAGGTCACTGAGGAGCCAAGGGGAGGTCATTCCAGAGGAGGGCTTCCCAGGCCATGGTATAAGAAACCCACAAACAACTTGGATCCCGGGGGAGGCCTTCCCAGGGGAGATCTTTCCTTATCTAGCCAGGAGGTACCTACAAAGACCATCGGGCCCAGGCGAGGTCTTCCCAGAGGAAGTTTTCTCAGACCTGGACAGGAGGTACCCTCAAAGTGTGAGGAGTCCAGGCAAGGTCTTGCCAGAAGAAGTCTCCCCATGTCTCCCCAGTAGGTACCCACAAAGATTGAGGATCTCAGATGAGGTCTTATCAGAGGAGATTTTCCTAGGCCAATATGCAACAAAGTCACAACAACCTTGGAAGCCAGGAGAGGACTTCCCAGGGGAGTTCTACCCAGGCCCAGCCAGTTGGGACCTACGAAGAATGAGAAACCCAGGAGAGGTCCTCCAAGAGAGGGTCTTCCGAAGCCTACCCAGGAGTTACCCACACACACTAAGGAGACCTGGTGACATCTTGCAAGAGGAGGGCCACCCAGGCCTAGCCAGGAGACATCAACAAAGGCAAAGCAGCCTAGTCAACATTTTTCCAGATGAGGGATTCCGAGGCCTAGCCAAGAGGCACCCACAAAGCCCAAGGTGCCCTGGCCATGTCTTTCCAGAGGAGGTCTTCCCAGGACTACACTGTTGCCATCCACAAATATCGAGAAGCCCAGGGGACATCTTGCCAGGGGAGGTCCTCCCTTGCTGAGCCAAGAGGCACACAAGGAGCCCAGGCAACGTCCCAGGCCTAGGCAAGAGCACTCACAAAGACTGAGGAGCCCTGACAATATCTTTCCAGAGGAGGTCTTCCCATGCCTACTCAGTTGGCAGCCTCAAAGCCGAGCAGCCCAGGCGACATCTTGCCAGAGGAGGATACACCAGGACTATGCACTTGCCACCTACAAAGATCGCAGGGCCCAGGAGATGTCTTTCCATAGGAGGTTTTTCCAGGCCTACTCAGTTGGCACCCTCAAAGAACGAGGAGCCCAGGCGATGTCTGGCCAGAGGAGGATGTCCGAGGACTATGCATTTGCCACCTACAAAGATCGCAGAGCCCAGGAGATGTCTTTCCAGAGGAGGTCTTCCCAGGCCTACTCAGTTGGCACCCACAAAGAGCGAGAAGCCTAGTTGATGTCTTCCCAGGACTACACCATTGCCATCCACAAAAATCGAGAAGCCCAGGGGACATCTTGACAGAGGAGTTCCTCCCAGGCCTAGCCAAGAGGCAAAAAAAAGACCAAGGAGTCCAGGCAACATCCTG